TTGGGGGAATTTTATCGTCAGGTATTAACCCGCAATTTTTCAGAATATGTTGAGGTATTGACCTCAACCAAACACATTCTCGACTAGCTTCATGTATTACCAATATTTCAGCATGATTTGAGGAAGTGCCTGTTAAAGTTTGTTTCATCGATCTCCAAGAGATCACAGTTTTGCCATAAGTAAATATATAGCCAGTTTGCGAATTGGCTTTATGAGGATCCGATAAATATCCTGCATCGGCAAATCCAATTAATTCATGTCGAGAATCATTTGAGTAGAATAACCCGAGGTCAATTGTTCCTTAGAGATAGCAAAAAATGTGTTTAATCTCATTCTAATGTCGTCGAGTAGGCGATGAGTTAAATCTTGCCAATAAGTTTACAACAAATGATATATCAGGTCGGGTGTTGTTGGCAAGATACATCAATGCGCCTATAGCAGTCATATATGACACTTCTGGGCTAAGTGTTTCTTCATTTTCCTATTTTGGTCTAAATGGACCATTTATTGGATCGAGTGCCTTGACGATCATTGGGGTACTTAGCGGATGTGATTTATCCATCAGGAACTGTTTTAGTACCCTTTTGGTATAATTTGATTGATGGATAATGATTCCACTTTCCAAGTGTTCAATTTGCAAACCAAGGCAAAATTTGGTTTTTCCAAAATCTTTGATCTCAAACTCCTTTTTCAGATATTCAACAACTTTTTGGATTTCATCAAGAGGTCCAATTAAATTGAGATCATCGGCATATACAGCGATGATTACAAATTCAGACCCATTTTTCTTTATAAAAGCACATGGACAGATAGGGTCATTTATGTAACCTTCTTTTGTTAAGCTTTTGCTGAGACGATTGTACCATATTCGGCCCGATTGCTTAAGCCCATACAAGGATTTTTGCAATTTGATGGAATATGATTCTTTTGGCTTTGATTTGAATGATTCAAGTATGTTAATCAATTCTGAGATTTTCATGTAGACGTCATTGTCTAAAGAGCCGTAAAGATAGGCAGTAACTACATCCATTAATCACATATCAAGATTATTGTGTACTGCCAGGCTCACCAGATAGCTGAATGTTATTCCATCCATGACCCGCGAATATGTTTATTCAAAATCAATACCCGGTCTTTGGGAAAAACCCTGGGCTACAAGCCTTGCTTTATATCTTGTGATATCATTATTTTCATTTTCTTTTCTCACAAACACCCATCTGTAGCCAACAGGTTTCACATTTTCAGGTGTTTGGACTATGGGTCCAAATACTTGCCGATTATTCAATGAGTCCAATTCAGACTTAATTGCGTCTTTTTACTTTGCCCAATCATCTCTTTTCCGACATTCATCAACTGATTTTGGTTCATAATCCTGGTCATCTTTCATTATATCGAGTGCTACAGAATATGCAAATGCATTATCAATATTTGTTTTCTTTCTATTCCAATATTTTCCAGTGATGGTATAGTTAACAAAAGTTTCAATAACTCCATCATCACTTTCATCAGAATTTTTAGTATCAACCTCTTCAGGGGTTGTACTGACATTTTCAGTTATCTGATCATTGTTGATATCTTCACCAGTATTTACAATTTTCCTCTTTCATGGATTCTTATCCTTGGAACCCAACGGTCTGCCACGTTTTACGCGGGCAGTATGCTCATTAGCACTCGGCATCTTCCCTTCTGGGATATTTATTTTAGCCGATGCATTTGCTGCTGCAATAGATGATTTCGTAACTCTGGCAGCATCATTAAAAGCATCAGGCAATTGATTTGCAATTTTTTGCAAATGCACAATTATTTGAACTTCAAGTTCACTATGTTTCGTACGATGATCCAATTCAAGTGGTATTTTCCACGAAATTTCTTTTTTTAGTTGATTACTGTCTCCCCCTAATGTCGGGAAATGTGATTCGTCAAAATGAAAGTCTGCAAACCTCGCAGTAAATAAATCACCCGTTGTTGGTTCAAGATATTTTGCGATCGAGGGTGATTCATATCCGACATATATACCCAAACTTCTTTGAGGTCCCATTTTCGTGCGTTGAGGTGGTGCAATTGGCACATAAACAGCACACCCAAATATTCGCAGATGAGATATATTTGGTATTTTTCCAGAAACCAATTGAGTAGGGGAATAACAGTGATAACTTGTCGGCCTTATTTTCACGAGGGCTGCTGCATGCAATATAGCATATCCCCAACATGATATGGGAATTTTAGACCTCATTAACAATGGTTTATCAATTAATTGCAATCTTTTGATAAGGGATTCAGCCAGGCTATTTTGCGTATGTACATGGGGAACATGATGTTCCACAGTAATCCCAATTGACATGCAATAATCATCAAATGTATGTGATGAGTATTCTCCAGCATTATCTAAACATATTTTCTTTATCGGATGATCTGGAAATTGTGCTCGCAATCTAATTATTTGTGCAAGTAGTCTAGCGAAAGCTAGATTGAGAGTAGATAACAGGCATACGTGTGACCATCATATTGACGCGTTGATTAGTACCATAAAGTACTTGAAGGGTCCACACGGTGGATCTATTGGTCCACAAATATCACCCTGAATTCTTTTTAGAAAAGCTGGGGATTCAAATCCAACTTTTGTTGGAGATGGCCTGATTATTAACTTCCCTTAGGAACAGGCAGCACAAGCAAATTCATTCGAACTCAAAATATTTTCTTTTTCAATGGGTGGCCATTTGAATTTTTAACAATTCGTCTCAGCATTACATTGCTAGGATGCCCAAGTCGATCATGTGAAGTTTTAAATTCGCTAGTAGCCATTTGGTCTACTAGGTGATATGTTTCAATTGTACTGATTTTTGAGTAATACAAGCCGGGAGAAAATGATGGCAATTTTTCTTTCACAATTATGTTGCCATTCAATCTGAGTAATCAAGAGATACTCATTTTCTGCCTCATTTAATGTTTCAATGTGATACCCATTTCTTCGAATGTCATAAAACTCAGTAAATTCCTTCGAGCTTTGCTCGAGAACAAGGCATTTTCAATTGCCATTTTTGTCCCTTTTGGGAGATATACAGTAGCTTTCCCTGAGCCTTCAATCATTTTCGATGCACCACTGGTAGTAACAATAGTGGTCTTTCCCATATTCAGGTGGGAGAAATAACATTTATTTTTCAAAATGCTGTGAGTCGTAGCACTGTCGATAAGGCAGATGTTGTCATCGGCTCCAAAATATTTGGCATCCATATCTTTGCAAGAAGGTAAAAATAATAAAAGACATGTATTAGTAACATAATCAAAATAGACTTATATTATAGAGGATAATACAAAATAACAAAAGAGATACAACAACATTTTATCATTTAACATCATCAGCTATGTCAAGTAGATCATCGGCATCCAGGTGCGTGATATTTTCATTCATCACATCGTCAAATGTGTCATCGTGGGTAGCATGGTTTGTTTCGGCAGCAACTCTTCACTGCCTTTCCTTTGAGGCCCGATACAGTTTAGCCAAGTAACTGGCTGTGCGACAAACATAGGCCCAATGGCCTTTGATTCCACACTGGGTGCATTCATCGTCATTGTTTCGGTTTCTCCCGGTGTTGAACCTCTGTTGAGGTCTGTACGGCCTTCTGTCATTATAACACCGATTTGGCACATATCGGGGCCTGTTTTGATAATTATTGTCACTGTATGCGTTTATCCGGCCCCTTTCGCGATTCTGATTTCGATCGCGATCAATTCGCTGATTTCTAACTTGCCAACGACCACACACCGGATTTACCAGTTGTATTGCATTGGCCTCTGGGAATGGATTTGTACATGTCGGCTGAGATTCGTGATTTTTCAATAGCAATTCATTATTTTGTTCGGCCAGCAAAAGATAGGTGATCAGCTCAGAATATTTCTAGAAGCCTCTTTCGCGATACTGCTGCTGCAAAACCATATTAGAGGCATGAAAAGTGGATAAAGTTTTCTCCATCATATTAGATTCAGATATATTTTCACCACAGTGGCGCAGCTATGATGTTACTTTAAACATGACAGAATTATATTCTTGGACTGTTTTAAAGCCTGAAGCTGTAGGCTTTGTCATTCGCTTCGTGCCCTTGGCAACAATGTCAGCCTCAAATGATCATATCTTTATTTCAATCTCTCACAGAATTCAAGTGGGAATTCTAGCGTAACATACTGCATTTTTAATGCCTCATTAATGTGATGGCACAAAAAGATCATGGCCTTTGCATGATCTTGGCTCGGGGAGTTTTTATCCCGAACAATAGTATTTTCCAAGCCCATTGATGCCAGATGCATTTTAACATCGCGAGCCCATACCATATAATTTTGACTAGAAACAAGAAGAGGAAGAAATTTCTGTTTAGCAAGATTAGACATAATAAACGGATAAAATATAAAATATTACTTTGCGAACATTAAAATATATAATCGTGTTGATAACATATTATAATATTATTATAGGATTAGCCAATAGAAATATTAATTACTTCTACTGCTTAACATTATTTTATATTTTGTATTTTATATTTTGTATTATATTATACACTGTATGTAATATATAAATAAATATATATTTTGTATTATATTATATACTGTATGTAATATGTAAATAAATATATATATATATGCAATAGGTATATGAATTATAATGTATATATATGAATAATATATATGTGTATAATGTATCCAATGTGTGTGCGTGTTCATTGATATAGATGTATAAGTGTGTCTGAGAGCATTAATTAGAAAAAAAGTGAAAAACAAGTGAAAACTCACACCATTCATTTAATTATTGGTCCATATTTATACACAACGAAACCCATAACCATAACGAATGAAAGCCTTTAGGTGTATCATAAGTAGCTGTAGCTATTATAATAGTTCAAATATTTTGAAGTATCTCAAAGAAAAACACTGAAGGGAGCGGAGCGTTTGATTGATAACTTCTTTCAGATTCTAACTTTAAAAAATTGAATATTAAAAAAAAAAAAAAATTTCAAAAAGGGAAGACATATCTGTATTTATATTACAGAGCCTCAAAAAGCGCGTACAGTACACATACGAAAATTAAACCCTATCCATCCTAGCCGCGACCGCCGGCGACGATAATGATCATTTAACTAATAATTATTATTAAGTATTAACTAATCAATCTACGGCCTTGCAATCGACCTCCCTGAGCACCGTCTGCAGCCCCTTCCCGGCACCGTTCGCCATCGGATGTATCCCCTGCGCCGGCCCCTTCATATCCTTCCTATTCTCCCTCTCCTTCTCCAACGACACCCCGTAACGCTTCTCCACATCTAAAATTATATATATATATATATATATAGGTATATACATATCCAAAATTAAATTAAAATCAATTAAATTGAATAATAATAATAATATTAATATCAATACCCTGAGCCAAGTGGTTGTAGAGCTGGCCGTCGCGGGTGAGCGCCATCATGAGCTGCGGGAGGCCGAGCGGGAGGCTGTCGCCGGCGTCGACCTGCCAGAAATGGAAGACCTTGCCGTAGGTCTTGCAGACCTTGGCGAGGTCCTGGCGCTGGATGGGGCCGGGAACTCCCGGCATGAAGAGCACGCCGCTCTTGACCTCATATTCGTGCGAGTGCCAGAAGCGCTTCTCGTCGTCGGGCAGGGTGAGGAAGAGCTCCTCCGAGACGACGTACTCGAGGCCGATGAGGCGGGCGTCCTCGTCGGGGCGGTCGTAGATGAGGCACTGCCGGAAGTCCTCGTTCTGGTGGGCGCAGTAGTGGTGGGCCTCCACCTGCCGGGTCATGTCGTCCGCGTAGAAGTGGAACGCGCACAGGTGCTGGTGGATCTTGTTCACCGCCCCGAACCCTTGGATCGTCGCCGTCGCCTTCTCCACCAGCGCCGTCGACGTCTTCGTCGGCTCGCCGGGAACGTCTGTCAGCCTCTGTCCGCCGGACATCTTCGTAACAATTTTCTACTTGTGAGCGAACGGTGGATTGCCGGAAGCCAAGTTATAGAATAGAAATACAAGGGAACTGGAAGCGACACGTGTTCGGCATGCTTGACACGTGCGACGCGTGGCGGGTTCCGGATAAACTTATGCCCGACTCATGCTTGAGACTTGTTCTCGCTCTCTCTGTATACAAATAAATAAAAAATACTACTAATTATATATAATCTCCTAATCATATATCCTATCCTATATATATATATATATATATATCCTAGTGTGAATTCAGTGCTACGTGCGGTGGTGAAGTTACGTCGGATATATTGTAACATAATTATATATAAATATAAGTAAAAGTAAAAATAAATAAAAAATAAAAAATAAAAAAGAAGAAGAAGAATAAGCTATACAAAATAGTACACGTGCAACGGCATAAATTTATAAATCATAAAATTTAAATAAAAGTCGTTTTTATAAATTACCATCAAATCTTAAAGTGCCAAGAAATAAAAAAAATAAAAGAGTTATAATTATAGAAATCGTTTTGTAATGTGTGCATATTCTTCGTGCCAATCTACTTTCATAACTTGAAACACAGGAGATTGAGCATCGGGTCTTGCAAATGTTGGAGGTATCGGAATAATGAATGTGAACGCACGGTCAAAAAATGCAGTCAAATAACTTTTTAGCATTGTCTTCTCATTTATCTGAAAATATAAGTAAAATACTCCCTCCGTCCCATTGAAATGTTATCATTTTCTATTTTAGTCCGTCCCAAAACAAGGTTATCATTTCCTAATTTAGTAATTATACTACCTACCTAACATAATAAATACCCTTTCAACTTACATTATATTACACAAATGTCATTACTTTTATATTACACCATACTAATAGGGGTATTTTTGTTTTTTTTACTACAATTCAATATAATACTAATATTAAAAAATTTACGTGCAAAAAGCAAATGCCACCTTTCTTATGGGACGAAGGGAGTATATTACATATATTTTATAGTATAATATTAATATAGAAAATATACTTTGGTCGTCATAGACTTGACAGATGGATCTTCAACATAGAACATATATTTTAGATGTCTGTTGAATAACTTGAATTTCATTGTCCCACAACTATCATATGCTTTTATGTAAACTTGATATACAAAATTAGTTAAAAAGTTCCGCATGCTATCAACATCAATTTCTTGGACACGAACAATCATTCGGAAAATTTTACCTGGAAAAATAGAATAATTACTTTAAATAATATTAAACGTTAGTTGAAGATATATTTAAAATTATATATCTAACCCCATCTTGATGTTTGAAGTCACGTATCCGAATTTGTTTGACATTTGATATTTTCAATAAATCTGATATTGGAAATATCTTTGACATAAAGAATGACACCAACTTCTCCACACAATAATCGCCTTTAAACCTAAATAAAATAGTTAAAATCAATTACAATTAGAAGATTAGAAAAAAAAAAAATATTTGATATAAATATTAAATTTAATTACTCACTAGTTATGAAAAGTTTCGCTAAAGCTTGTCGGTGGATTTATATACATTTTAGTATAATGATGCGTGTAAATACACGTACCTATAAAATTTTGTAAACAGTAAGTATGTAAATAAAAAAATTACAATTTAACATAATCAATGTAAAGATAACAATAAAATTTAAATAAAGATATAATAGAAAGTTAATTGTATACCTTCAAAATTCTTTATCATAACACCATATGCCCATAAAGTAATATATTTTTAAAATATATTCTTTAGCGTTTCATCGTCATCCATAGCATGTTTGATACGTAAAATTATCCGAACAACTACCATACTTAGTTATATATATATATGTAAAGGCAACAAAAGTAAATATAGTACTAAAAAGTACTTTTAAAAAAACGAAAACAAAAACAAAAAAATAAAAAAAAAAAAAAAAATAGAAAGTAACAATTTACCTTATATCAAGAAGAATAATCTCATGCATGGGATAACCATTCTCCGATAAGTACCAATCATTCACATAAACAACCAGTCCGAATACATCTGCACAACAACGTAAAAAAATAAATTATAAATTTAAGATTAGAAAACTATTGTAGATGTATATATATATTTACGCTTATAGTTCAATATACCAATGAGTTGGTCTTCTCTATTCACATGACAATCTAATTCATTTAGAGGGACAATACTGTGGAATTCGCTCAGAAAATCTTCGTCGGAATCATGTGAATCTTCGATGATCACATTATGACGCAATATTAGTTGGTAACGGTGAGGTACTAATCTGTATATTTTATATGCTATTATCACTTGTGCGTTATGAATATTATAAATAGTCCCTTCTGTAAGACATGAACTGAATCGATCAATTATAGCCACATATATTATTGCAAATAATTCCCACAATCCGGGCGACTGTTTACCAAAAACACAGGTCCATTTTTCTTAATTCCGGGGTTTCTCTAAATTAGAAACAAAATGGTGTCCACATAGGAAAAGCTTTCCGCCCGCAACAATCCAATTAGTACTCTGGGCAGGATACTCCTGCATAACTTCCTGAAGTATTTCCCATACAATGGGTTGGGGATATCAATATTGATCCTAGTGACAATATCGATGGTGACCGTGATCCTTTTGTCGACGGATGTTCCTATTACACTCGTAGTCTCTGAAGGATGAGCACCAACTATGTAGCATCTACATTGAGAATTCAAGTATTGTATACGCCATTAGTCCGATCCTCTATGCCTTGCATAACAAATTTCAATTGTTAGGATATGTTTGGCTCGAAGTTAGGTGTTGAGACGAGTGAATAGAAGAGAAAAAAAATTAATTTCTTTTTTCATTTATTTTTTCTTTTTCTCCAATTTGGAGAATTTGGAGGATATATTTTTTATTAATAAAGTAACGAAGAATAATAAGAGACTTCAAGCCCCAAGAAGTAACAAAGGGGACCCAAGCTCTTCATCTCAAACTGTTGGCCAAGATATGGTTGTAGATCAAAAATACCAGACACATCATCTCCCGTGATGATCATATTATCAATATAAAGTAAGAGTATAACTATCCTAGATGAAGAATAAAGAAGAAATAAGCCAGAGTCATAAGTGCATGTGGTAAAACCAAACTTCAACAGTGCGGCACTAAATGTGGTATATTAAGCCCGAGGGCCTGCTTCAACTCTTATAAAGCGCGACGTAAGCGAAAAACCTTTCCAGAAGACGAGAAACTTGGAGGAGGATTCATAATAAACTTCTTCAGAAAGTGTGCCATGTAAAAATACATTCTTGACATCTAACTGGAGAATGGACCACTAACGAACAACAACAACGGAAAGAAGACAATGAACAATAGTGAGACGAGCAACGAGAGCAAAAGTCTCCTCATAGTCAACTCCATACTCCTGAGAATAACATTTGGCTACCAGACGAGCCTTGTAGCACTCAACGGAACATTCAAAATTAGTCTTAATTTTGAAAATCCACTTGCACGCAATAAGTGTTTTGCCATAAGGCAAATCCACTAAATCCCAAGTGTGAATCTTTGTCAGATCTTTCAATTTCTCAATCATAGCTTGCTGCCATAATGGATCAGCACTCTTGTCATGAAATGACCTAGGCTCATGATGAGATAATATGGCAAAGTAACAATGATAATCACACAAGTGAGCATGAGGGTGACTTACTTGATGTGATCGACGAGGTATGACAGGTCCAAGGACCTCAGACAATTCATCATCTGGAGAGAATATCGGAGGTGGATCATAAGCCTCAACTGAAGGTGCACTAGAGGTCTCAACTTGAATAGGATTGGGAGGCGGTAATGGAGCCGTAGGATCAGGATCAAGAAACAAATGAGGACATACCGACATGAAAGAAGGTGAACCAAAAATAGATGGGGTATGAAATTTAGACAATATGAAAAATATGACATTATCCTAATAGTTAATATGATAAGATATACACAACCGTTTAGAAAACGGATCCCAAAGCCTTTAACCTTTATGCTCTGACCCATAACCAAGAAGACAACATACACGTGCACAAGGTTCCAATTTAGAATGTTCATGCGAGGGATAACGACAAAACCGACACAACCGAAGGGACGAAGGGTACTATAATCGGGTGACTGACCATATAGATGCTCGAAATGGGTGCTATTTATGAAGGACAGATGATGGAATATGATTTATGGTATAAACAGCAGTGAGGGCGGCCTCCCCCCAAAACCTATCAGGACAAGAGGCAGACAAAAAGGATGCACGAACAATATCTAGAATTTGACGATCTATGGTATGGATAGTAGTGAGCACCACCATTCTATTGAGAGGTGTATGGACAGAAACGTTGAATCAATGTACCTTGAGTAGAGAGAAAACTTAATAAGGTAGAATCTCTATACTCAAGGCCATTATCAGTGCGGAGGGTCTGTATGAGACAAGAAAATTGAGTTCGAATCATTTGAAAAAATTCAATGTATGTTTGAGGTAATTCTGAAAGGTATTTCAAAAATTATATCCATGTAAAATGAGAATAATCATCTATAAAAATGACATAATAACGACACCCACTCATAGAGGAAACAAGGGAAGGACCCCAAATATCAGAATGAACCAAGAAAAACGGTTTACTTGCGACCGACATATTTTTTGAAAAAGATAAGTCTAGTTTTTTTCCCAAATGACAGCAATCAAATGATTCAAAACGAGTAGAACCCAAATAACCCTTAGTAACAAGAGACTGAATTTTAGCGGAAGACGCATGACCAATACGAATGTGTCATTGAAGACTAGGGGAAAGAAATATATTAAGAGAGGTATGAGTAGTAGCAGCAGAGAAATTACTAGGAGGAATTTTAAAAGATTGTACCTCAAATAGTTGACCTACTTTTCGACCTGTCCCAAGAATTTGACCCGTACGTGGATCCTGAACATGCACATCAGAAGAAGAAAAAGTAATTGTAAGTCTGTGCTCAACTAGTTGGCCAACTGATACAAGATTTAAAGTCAATCGAGAAATGCAGTAAGTATTATGAAGAGATATAAATGGTA